TTTTACAGACATACAGTTTCAGGTGTATACAGCTGGCAGATGTCATTCATCAACACATGAGCTTGATTGTTAGCACACTCATTTTCACACACTGAGGTCCATGATTCGATCCCCAGTACAGGTGGAAACATTAGGACGTGTTTCCTTAAGACACCTGCTGCCCCTTTTCACCCAGCAGTAGACAGGTACGTATATGGGTGTTAGCTGACCTGTGTGGTGGCTAACGATCTCCTGAAAACTCACCTAATTTGCCCAAAATGCTCTGCATAACAAGGGGCTCTCTATATACTGTAGTAGTATGTCATTGACGTCAGCTATGCCTGTATACCTTGTACATGTACTTGCAGAAATAAAGATTACTATTATAATTATTATTATTATTAAAGACATCTTTTTCTTCCACTTGCTCATAAAGATAAACTTAAAACTGTTAAGAGAATTTTTTAAATAAGTTATTGGCTGCTTTCATTTTCGGTGGGTATATGATCACAAATGCTAGAGCTATAGAAGGCAATTAACATTATAATCATGTACAGTCCTTACTGAGTCATGGTCACTCATGTCTAAGGTTACTTAATTAACAACTGTAATATTTCATCTTTGCTTAGTGAAAGTTCCTAATCGAGGAAGACAGTAGGAATGTTATCGTATTAAGCCCAGCTTAGAGGAAGGTAAATTTCGTTATTAAAATCCTTAACTAGTTCTGACCCCTATGTGTGTAGATAGTCCTTCCCACCTATAGTCATTCATGTCCAGAAGGATAGGGCTTACTGTGACAACACTAAGCCTGAACTGTAATATTCTAGCATATAATTCACTTCAGCTAGGCCTAAATTTCTCATTAGGCACCTTGGGCACATGCCACATGTTTGGTATCTAGACTTGTTTAAAATTAATCCTTTGACTGTTTTGGTCATGTATATACGTGTTACGAGCCACCGTTTTTGCGTATACATATACTCATAAATTCTAGCAGCTTCAAATCAAGCAGGAGAAAGCTGGTAGGTCCACATGTGAGAAAATGGGTCTTTGTGGTCAGTGTGCGCCATATAAAAAAAAATCCTGCAGCACGCAGTGCATAATGAGAAAAAAAAAAATTCTGACTGTTTTTTTTTAATTAACCCTTTCAGGGTCCACAGGCCCTCTCGGAGACTTGTTCTCAGGGTCCCCCAAATTTAAAAAAAAAAAAAAATATTTTTTATGAAAAAAATAGAGAATCTTTTCCCGATCATAATGACACCAAAAGTATGAAATTTTATGGAAAACATACAGAATTATGCTCTTGCGAAGTTAGCAGTCTTTGAGCCCACTTTGAGCCCTATTTTCGGCCAATTCCGATGTACTAGTCAACAAAAATCATAACTATTTCGCTAGAACTCCATTTTTTCTATCGAATGAGTACAAGAAACCACCCATTTACCGATTTCAACTATCCAATAAAGTGGTCAGAATTTAGCAATTTTGCCAATTTCACACAAATTTCAAAAGATGTCAATTTCCGAATAGAGTCTAGAATAAACAAGAAAGACATTCCTGGCACTAAAATAACAAGTTCTCTGTTCGTTAGTCACATCCCCAGGCCCCCCTTATATTTCTTTGGCTTTCCACTTTGAATTTTTATTCTCACAAAAAATAGAAGATTTACTGTTATGCAGACTACTGCATTAGTGTAGAAATGGTATGAATAATATCAGCGCACTTGTGAAAGAATATTAGACTCACCAGTTGACGTGTATTGGACGCTTGGCATGATTTGTTTACTTTTGAACTTTGGTAAAAATCGAACATTTCTGCTATTTGAGCTCAATTTCAAGGTACTTTTCATTGTAAAACCAGTCAAAATCATCTCAATTTCTGTAATATGTCTTCCATTCTATAAAATGAGACCAGGAAAACTAGAATACAAAAAGTCGCTGTTTTAATCCAAAAACACAAAGTTTTTTTTTTTCACATTACGCACTGTGTGCTGCAGGATTTTTTTTTATACTGCGCACACTGACCACACAGACCCATTCTTTCATATGTAGGCCTACCAGCTTTCTCTCAATAGATTTGAGGGCGCTAGAATTTAGGCGTACTAGTACATCAAAAACCCTAGGGCGTAAGCCATACTAGTACGGCCGAAACCCTGAAAAGGTTAAAATGCAGACTTTGTGGTCTATTTTTGTTTAGTATTTATGATTGTATTCTCGTTTTCTTGGTCTCATTTGATAGAAAGGAAAACATATTATAGAAATAGAGGTGGTTTTGATTGGTTTTACTATGAAAAGAACCTTGAAATGGAGCTCAACATAGGGGAAATGTTTGATTTTTGCCGATGTTCAAAAGTAAACAAATGATGCCATTTTCCAATAAATGTCCAAGTAGCCATTCTAATATGCAGTCATGAATGGGTTGACATTATTTATACAATTATTACAATATTGCAGTAGTCTGCATAACAGTAAATCTTCTATTTTTTGTTTGAATAAAAATTCTAAATAGAAAGCAAGAGTAATATCAGAGGGGCCCAGAGATGTGACTGATGAACAAAGAAAAATGTTATTTTAGAGCCAGGAATGTCTGCTTTGTTCATTCTGGACCCTATTTTGAAATTGTCATATTTTTTTATTTTCGAGAAATTGGCCAAATTGCAAATTTCTGACCATGTTATTGGGTAGTTGAAATCGGTAAATGGGCAGTTTCCTGTATTCGATCGATAGAAAAAATGGAGTTCTAATGAAAAATCTATGAGTTTGGTCGACTGGAACAATGGAATTAGCCGAAAATAGGAATCAAAGTGAGCGAAATCGCCGATTCGTAAATATCGCCGAGGTTGCTAACTTCGTGAGAGCGTAATTTCATCAGTTTTCCATCAAATTTCGTTCTTTTGGTGTGTTTACAATCGGAAAAAGATTCTCTATCATTTCACAAGAATTTTGGGGGGGGGGGGGATTCTGCGACACCAGGAGACACCTCAGGATTTGGGGTTGCGACAGTCAAGAGGTTAATGACAGGCAGCAAGTTGAGTGATAAACATTTACTAGTATAGCTTCTGTATATATCCTGAGCATTTCCTAATCTCCTATTGTTATTTTACAGCTCTATACAGTTATTTTACAGCTCTATACATCACTAGTGAGGCCTCATTTGGATTATGCCACTCAGTTTTGGTCTCCTTTCTACAGGATGGATATAGACTCATTAGAGATCATACAAAGAAGAATGACTAAAATGATTTACTGTATAAGGAATCTCCTGTATGAAGATAGACTTAGAGCCTTGAATCTCCACTCTCTGGAGAAACACAGGATGAGGGGAGATATCATCGAGGTGTATAAGTGGATGATGGGCATAAACAAAGTGTGATATTAATAAAGTACTGAGGGTGTCAAACCAGGAAAGAACCAGAAATAATGGATTTAGGTTGGATAAATTTAGATTTAGAAATGACATGGGTAAGTACTGATTTTCGAACACAGTGGTGGATGCATGGAATGGTCTTCCGAGAAGGGTGATTGAGGCTAGGACCTTGGGTAGCTTTAAAAAGAGATTGGACAGATATATGAGTGGGAGGGGCTGGGTTTTATTGGTGTCATGGGTATGGGAAATAATTCTTGGGTAGTTTTGGGTAGGGGTGGTTTTGATAAGGACTGCCTTGTATGGGCCAGTAGACCTTCTGCAGTGTTCCTCCATTTTTATGTTCTTATGTCTCTCCCAGTTTTCCAGGGATTAAGAGGAATTATTGACTAGTGGCATTTGACCAATTTTGTAGCAGTGTAAAATATCACACTACAGGTAACTGACTACCTCAGTAGGTGAGGTAGTTAGTTATTCAAGAGACCACTATCCCAATGAAGATACAGGTCTATGCATAGAAACTACTACAGAATGCAGTATAAGTGCTTGCCTTCTGATGACAGCTGCCTCCACCATGATCACGAGTATTGGTGGTAGGGCTGGTAGTCATGTATCAGATTCCCCAACATAGAATATGAAGCTTTGAAATACAGGACAAACTGTATTTAAAAAATCTACTTTTTGTGTAGGGTCTGATGAACCACTGATACTTCCCCCCACCTCCTATGCTAGTTGTTCTGCCTGAGGTTGTTATGAACGGTGTCTGCTGGTTAAATGCACCCAAAGCACAGAATTAGAAAACAAACTGAATAGAGAAAATGGAAAGGAGGCATACTCTGCTCAAGTGGTAGGGACATTCTCAGACTTTTGTAATAGAATGGTAACTCTGAGCAGTGTATTTTCCAACTATAGTTTGTAAAACTTTACATGAAAAATAGTTTTTCACTCTTTGAAACATCTATTTTAGAAAAGTTCCATGCTGGTCACGCTGTGTTTTGCAATGCCTCATATTACCTGCTGAGTAATACAGTCCAGTTTCAAGTCATGTAAATGAATGTCAATCTGCTTATGTTCTTGTTATACACATAACACAGTACAAGAGGAGCACACACAGTTGCATACAATGCAATAAATGAAATTGTAACAGTGCACTTTTACTTGAATTATCCAATTTGGTGTCTAATTAATTACTAAAAAAATCAGTTAATTACAGTATTATCAGTAGAATTATCAAATAACATCTTCAAAACAAGAACCAAAATCAATTTCCTCTGAAATCATAAATGCCTATAGGATGTTAAAATAGAAAAAAAAATTGTAAAATAACAAAAAGTCCCTCACTTCTAAAGAATATTTTGTGAAGAAACCCAGAAACCCAATGTATCCCATGCATACCCTCATATTCATGTAATGAAGAGAACATGTAATGCAGCCAAACTGTGGTAATCAAAACATTTATTTATAAAAATAAACCTGGCATGTTGAATATAATCCAAGTAAAAACAAAAATTATTTGCAGTTAAGCTCATTTACCAGTACATATACTATGTTATGATGCAATAATTAACTTGTAAAGACAGATTTGATTTTCAGAATGGCTACAAGACTGTAAAAAATAAGTAGGGTCTTTGAAACCCTTAAATGGGAATGATATTACTCACCAGTGCTGGGTCCAAGGAGGAGGCAAGACTAGAGTTAGAACAAGAGTGTGGGGGAAGAATATCCATGTGTGGGTGTTCTCCACCACTACTGGCATCCCCCATGTCACTCCCTGGACCACTCTCTAACCCCCAGTCCTCCTCCTCCTCTTCTATGGAGATATCTTCTTTCACAACCTGTGTGCACACCTTTAATTAATACACAAATCTTGATTATTAAACTGTGTTGCAATTTTCTCACACCATATGACATTTCTTGTGCAATATATCATGACCATTTTCATGTATGGTATTTGTATAAAGACAAGGGGACATTTTTTTAATGTATTTCTATGCAAAATTAACACTACACTTTTGTTATCATCATACTCAAATTTAGCACTAAACCCATAAGGGTCATACAACTTTATATTGAATATAAGAAGGACATCGAAATGAAATATATTGACAAGACTCACCACTTCATCATCAGGTTTTGCGGAACTTGGTGGTCTCCATGACGGTCCCGGCACAGGATCAGAGTCATCACGGTTCCTGTCTTGGCAATTAACTTCTAAAGGGGCCATAGGCACTGGAGAACGTGGGGGTTGTGGTGTATGTGGGGGCTGAGGTGTACTTATTAGGTGCTTACTATCTTCTGGTGAATTTTCCTTGTTCCCGTAGTGAGGTTGATCCGGAGAAGCAGAGTGAAGAGCACACTCATTCTGTGCATTATCTGATTGTGACACGGATGATGAGGAGGATTTTTGTGACAGGTCGTAAGGACTGTTGGGTTCTTGAGGTGATGAATTACTATACATAAGGCCAATCCCAGAAGCCCCATATTCAGAGTCTCGTGCTCGTTTTCTCTTTGGTGGAGGGCTGGCTGATGGCTCTGGGGGTGGTCTAGGAGTTGGGACCTCTCTAGATGATCGGTCGGCTTTCCTAAGCTGGATGGGATCATCTGGGACGGCTAAACCCTTGACTTGCAGACCCTCTGCAGTCTTAATTAGTGACGCTAGATTGTGATGGGGCACATTAACTTCTCCTCTGTACATAAAATCTAATAATGCCTCAAGGTCTCTGGCAGAAACATCTTTCATAAACACTATGGGATGCTTGCAAGGGTTTTTTGTGAACATTTCTTTAAAGTAGTCACTACATGTTGATAGCACAAATTTGTGAGCTGGGTATTGTTTGCCACCACATGCTAGAGTCACATCGATGAATACTTCCTGTAAAGAAAATAAAAACTATTTTTATATTGTGTATTATATTATATTATATTTTTATATTTATACGTATTGTCATTTAGAGAGAATGGATCAAAGTAGAATGACATGAGGAGCATTTAAATCTGTAGGGGAAGGAAGGCGGAGTAGGGGTCGTCCTCAAAAAGGTTGGAAGGAAGGGGTAAGGGAGGTTTTGTGGGCAAGGGGCTTGGACTTCCAGCAGGCATGCGTGAGCGTGTTCAATAGGAGTGAATGGAGACGAATGGTATTTGGGACCTGACGATCTGTTGGAGTGTGAGCAGGGTAATATTTAGTGAAGGGATTCAGGGAAACCGGTTATTTTTATATAACCGGACTTGAGTCCTGGAAATGGGAAGTACAATGCCTGCACTCTAAAGGAGGGGTTCAGGATATTGACAGTTTGGAGGGATATGTTGTGTATCTTTATACGTATATGCTTCTAAACTGTTGTGTTCTGAGCACCTCTGCAAAAACAGTGATTATGTGTGAGTGAGGTGAAAGTGTTGAATGATGATGAAAGTATTTTCTTTTGGGGGATTTTCTTTCTTTTTGGGTCACCCTGCCTCGGTGGGAGATGGCCGACTTGTTAAAAAAAAAAAAAATTAAATTTTATAAAATGTTCAGGCTTACTGGCTGAGAGAAGAGAACTAAATTTTGATAGATTTATGTTATAT